GAGCCCTAGATGTCATCGCCAGGGAAGGTCGGAACGTCGAAGATCGGGCGGAACGATGAAGGGATGTCGCGGCGCCTCTCTCTTGTTTGTGCCACATCCACTCGCGCTTTACGTCTGTGTGGGTGCATTCGTGTCACATACATTTCACTAGCATCTTCGAGACAAACTGAAAGTTCGGGTTTATCACAGTTCTCCTTGCGTAGCTAGAATTGCTATATTCGTTAAAGAAGTTAACGTTCTGCAATAATTCTTGTGCATGAGAGATGTATGTTATAAACTTTTCTTATTTATTACAAAGTTTAATCTTTCTGCTATCAAGAGAGGCAATTGAATAATTATATTAAGGATTGATTGCGATTTATTCTTGCAAAGAATTGTGTAGAAATACATTTATTTATTACATATTATAAAGTTAACATATGTATAGAGAGTAAATTAATCTTCTATAACGATTCTTTAAATGCTACGCAATATGATGTATGACGTAAACTTTGTACAGGTATATTCAATTTTTCTGTTAGTTCTTAAATGTGATTTACAAAACGGTTAATACGACAATATTGCAATATGAAATTCTCGTCGTGATGCGTATTCCCCGCCGGCTCTATTTTTTCCACTTTATTCAGGCTTCGTCGAATAAGACACGCGGAGGGATCAACGCGCTTGCGGGTTCAACTTCACCCGAGAATAAATCGTCTGCGGGCGGCTGCGCGCTGTCTTCCCAATTATAAAAGCTATTATGAATTTGCCGGGCAATTTGGCGGCTTTGAAAACGTGCCGTGCGTACGCGATATATACCTCGGCGGGTGGAATATCGTGATACCGGGGAGCTTACGCAGCTTGCAGAGTGGTGACTTCCTCCTCTGGCAATTTTGCGCGAAGCGGACAGAAACAAAGACACGGACGCGCGAGGAGAGCTCGCGCGAACGCGAGGCATTAACGATCCGTTGAGAGCGACAGCGACGAGCTCCGACGAGCATCCCGCACCAGAGCGGTGAGAATAGTTGTCTTCGGACTCGCCCATGTGACATCCGATACCTCTTGACACCGACACGCCGCGTAAAGAATTGCTGGCGCCTCCGCTTGGGCACCGTCTGCTTCGAATTGTCGTCCATTTTTCTCAACGAGCCTTGGCATGAGGACCCCTTCTCCTGAAGGGACTGGCTGGCATCGCGCACCTAAACGCGAACGTCCAGAGTTTCCCCGTAGATACTTTCGATGAAAACGATGCCACTTTTCACCTTTCTTGTTTCGTATCAATATGACCATCTATTAAAAATGCAAGCTGGACTGTAACTTATAATTGTTTGTTTGTGATATGATAAAGGAAAAGAACTACACAGGAAAAAGAGAAGTATCAAATATTAAGACTTATATACTCGTATATACGCAACAATCTATAATCTTGAAAAGAGATATATAAACGAAATAAACTTGCTTGAATAAAGTCTTATATAGTTCAATCAAGAAAAAAAGTTGAAATAAAAAATTGAAATTCTTGTAAAAAGATTATAGAATATAGTATAAGTTTTTTGACACTTTTTTTCTGTGCGTATTTGATATATTTGCGTCAGGTGCAAATTGATTATGCTCGCAATTCGTGACTGTCTTTTCCAATATTAGGAAACAAATTTTACAATATTATTTGCATAATTGTTATAGACGAATAGATTTACTCTCACAAATTTTACGCGATTCGGATTTTAATACTCGGATAAAGCGTAATGGCGGCGGATTAAGGGATCGTGCGGCTCAGAGTTGGCGATTAATGTCTTTAAAGCTCACACGATGTGAGGCTAAGCCTCTTAATTCTCTACCCTTTCATGTTACGAGGCGTAATTGATACTTCCCCTTTTTTTACGCTCGCATTGTAAGCACTCGGTAGTTTATCCGTTTAATTGCTTGCGAAGCAGCCTCGGGTCTGTATTCTAATCGCTCTGACCCCTCCTGCCCCCCTCGGGAGCGTCGACCGATCGATAAAATGTGGTGTACGAAATTGACCTCAGAGCGTGGTCGCGTAGTAAAGCTTATCCCTCCTCATAATTCAGAGTCCTGGAGCGAATTTCAGGTACCGTGGCACAAATTGTGCTCGCGTCGTACATTATGCGTCGAACCCCGTGATTTCGTAGTTCCGTGTACGTCCCTCCACACGCACCCACACGCACAGAATTCCAGGAGCACGCGATTGTCGAGCCACCGACGCTCGGCATCCGGTCGGCAAAGTTCCGCCGCCGTGGCCGACGACGTCAGGGATGGATTTACTTCGACGCGCGGGTACCTACTGCTAGCCCGCGGCTACAACAAACCCTCTCCGGTTTATCGCGGCGACAACCGCCAGAATATATCGTCACGGTTGAGCCCGCCGCCGAAATTTCTCTCCTAATCGCGACGCGTGATCACAAACAATTACCGCAGCGCTGAGAGGTAACCGTACGGAGAGTAGAGCTTGATACAATCCCCGCTTCTGTTGTGAGTTACGAGACGCAGCGAGAACAATTGTCGTATCGCGAGTGGAAGTACGAAATTTTGAAACAGAAACTCGCGCGCACGATTACCAGGGTTTAATTCAATGCTGAAATCATATTTACGGTGATGAAGATAATAATCGCGACCTTTCTAGATTGTCGTCTTTAGCCGGCAAATTTCAGCTGCGGTTCATTTAACACTACAAATGCTTCGAAACATTCTTCTTTTTCTTCCTTTTAGTGAAGAAAGAAGAAGAAGAAGAAGAAGAAGAAAAAGAAGAAGAACACTTCAAAAGCATTAGTAGCATCAAATAGACTACAACCTTTGTCACGTGTAAACGAAGTGAGAAACCAATGATCTCATATCACATCAATGTTCTTTTTTCCGATCGGATGATAACGTATGCGTCCCTGTGCACAAAGATGCCCGTACCTCGCCAACTGCGTAAATGGTAGGTGAACCTAATCGAAGTCCAAATTAGGGCGGACGATAACCGCGGCGGCAGTGCGGAACACAACACGGCACAAAGGAACTCCTCCGTGCGTGCCACCCCTTGCGTTAGGATTCGCCGTAATTTCGGAATGTGATGCAGCAGTATTTTCGAGGGCGAGACGCCTCGTATTTGTCGTCGTAACACTTACGCCGTAACGCTTTGATGAATGAGAAATAATAATCATCAGGGAGTTTCACAAAAAGCATTAGCCAACTCACCTTGCGTTTTCCTTGCTCAGGTAAATGTACTCGATCGTGACTTATTTTTCCCGTAGTAACAGCTAAATTTTCCGAATGATCATTCATCCGCCTTTCCCTATTTCAATTATGTATTGAGTTTCTTTAAGTATTGCCACATTTAGAGCATATAAAAGAAAGCCTGTTTTGTATTTGATAGTGTAATGAAAAGAAGATAATGAAAGGCAAAGGTGCGTAAATTTTATGAAATGTGTAGTTAAAAACATGCTTAATATTTTGAAAGTACTTACCTTTATGATTGCAATAATTTTATTATAATCTATATTTATTTATACATATTATTGTATTAAAGTATAAATTTAAAAAAATGTTTTCTTGTATATTATCTTTTTTCGAGAGGATAGACACACTTGTGAAATACGTTTAGAACATGTTCAGAAAAATCAATGATGAGTAATGGGATAAAACGATAAGGTATTGCAATGTATTGAAATAGTATTATAGGCGAAGAAATACATTGGCAAAATGGTCCTTTTATGCATCTAAGCTTTAAGATACAACTGGCTAGACAAAATACGAACTCGGAAAGGAAGAGTATAACATAAAGAGAAAGAGTAAGGAGGAAGAAGAGGCATGAGCCTTTTCCTCGGCTTTACATTGCGTTTTCTTGAAAGAAAATGGTTGAATGGATAAGGAAGGGTGGAGACGAGCGAGTGAGCGAATGAGAGAGACAATGAGTAAGTATGTGAGTGAGAGAGAGAGAGAGAGAGAAGGAGAGAGAGGGAGAGAAGTTGGAGGATGAAGCGTAAAGCAGCGTGTCGAGGGCAAATTAAAGAGGAACTTGCGAAAAAAGAGAATGGGGGGGTGGTGAAATGGAAGGGAACGCACGGAGAGAGAGAGTGCCACTCTCACCCTCGAGTCATTAAAAACGCGGTCGTCGTTCTGGCCATTAGAATGACAAATGACGTCGTTGACGGTGCCAAATTAGTACGATGAAAGGACGACAGACACTGCGAAAGCCCAGCGTGACGTGACCTGTACGCGGGGTACGTTTAGGCAGTTTGTAAAACGTCTAAAATAAAAGTTTTTACCGTGTATATTCGCGTGTACTCGTTATTAAAACAATGATGGTTATTGCCTTTGAAAGTTAATCCAATTTGAGAATAACTTATTGAAGTCACAACATAAAAATGTGTCGGTTGATTTAATTAAAACATTAAATGGAAAAACGAAAAGCTAAGCTTCTCATATGAGTTATTGTATAATTATATTATGAACAAAATTAAATTTAAAATTCTATTTTTTTTTTTACTGTAATATGCATAAAAATTTGTAACGTAACCCGTACTTTGGTGCTTTGAAATATGTCGCTGGTATTAATCTGAATTTTCAGAACGCTAGCTAGAAATATAAATAATTTCACAGAATAGCTAATAAACAGATTCAGCAGATCCCAGTTGGCTTTAAGTATCCAATGCTTCGTACTTTCAATGTATATTCATTTATGAAGATTAAAGATTATTTATGAAATCTCCAGAGATTTTCAATTAAGCGTACTAGTCATTGGATTATTCTACAATTACCTAGATAATTGGCTCTCGAATATCCGCTGCAGTCTGAAAATTCTTCATTGTATTTATGCGCGATAACGCAATTGTTGAAACTGGCTAAAATAATTAGTCTCGTAATCAAGGTTGACGCGCGATATTACATGTAGCAATTTTTTAGAAGGGTATCAGATAAGATTTATAGGAACTACATTTTTCTGCTTGGCGAAAAAGCCTGATGATAAGGGAACAAGATGATTTTTCCAAGGTTTATAAAAAAACTTTTATAAGAACCTCTTCGCTTCGCTAAAAGTTTTATTTTATTCGTCGGCCGGTTAGCCCGACGTATTTGTGTGTATGACTCCATGTACGCATGCGTGTATGTATTCTTGTTGTTCGTGTACTGTATGCGTTTTTTACGTTACACACTTCGTAGTCGTCTACGTCGCAATTAATACAATATAATATGTATAGTTTTTGTGTTTTTTTTTATCTATCTCGATAGCATACAAAAGGGATACAGGCACACAAATATCAAATATGCATCCGGTACTCGCGTTATGCTATTGATCAATATAATTACACTCACAATGGTACCGCCCTCCGTACTCGTTTTACGCTATATAATACAGTTATATACAAATGGTCGCTCCCGCGCATCGACGCGGGTGTATTTATAATACGTTTACACATATGTACGTATAAATTACAGTTCGCTATATACATCGAGAGATTATGCGGCGCGTTTAATACCTTCGGGGTGGCGGAAAGTTTTCCCTATTATCGCTTGTGCTAAATCTATTGATAAACCATCATCGTTGTCGTTTGTCGTCGTCGTCGTATCTGCTCACCGCGCGCTCTCTTCGACTTTCTACAATAGAGTATAGTACAGCCAGACGCGAGGTATTTCATACGATCGATCTTTTATGTACACGGTGTCCGCTCTCGACAAGTTTTTCGCGTGGTCAAATCATACGTGGTCGAATTCGTACGTGCAATCGTAATCCGTACAAGAATTATATTCTTGTGAAAATTGCGAGATAACAAATAACGCGCCGATGAGCTTATCGTGCGTATTAAAAGCACTTTCGGCCACAAATATAAGGAGAAATAATTATATCGATTTATTTCACGAAACTTGTCCGTTTAATTAAGGATAATCACGTAAATAAATTTTTGTGCAATTTCTCTCGGCAGTTTCTACTCGTAAACAGCATTAATTGCGATATGCCCGCGAGCATAATGCAGCTCCAAAGGCCGATTGATCAAGCGACCTCTCAAGTTGGTTCATTTCTTTCTTTTTTTCATGCTCCCTCGTAGAGTCGCATGTACGCGCACGCACTTACGTGTCGTCGTATAAAAGATGGGCCAGTTTCCCCCCTCGTTTTCGTCTGCCGCGAGCTCTCCGTCGGACCCCGTGTCGTCGGTTCAACCGGAGGCTTCTTCCCGCATTTCTCATGTCAGATAGAAAAAGGGCTGCATGCGTGATTTATGCCCGAGACTTTTCCCCGGTCGCACCGGCTGCTGCGGCCCGCGCCGTGTTCCTGTGCACATTGTACGTACCGATGCAGAACCGATCGTGTCGTATCTCGGTTATATCGACGAGAGCCGCGGCCGTATCGTTGTATCGCCCTCGACACGGCGCGGCCGGAAGAAAACTTACGACTGGCGTAAGAATACGTGTATACCGGGGGCAAGGAACCCGTACGGTGAGCCAAGACAGTGCTATCACCGCGTTCCGATGCTACGAGAGCGGGCGATAAGAATTAACTTGTGTAACATGCGCGCGCGCGCGATTCGCGAGAACGAGTCTTTACGCCCCTTTACGCCCCGAGATTATTAAACGTTTCTTGTTGCTGACGAGAATAACTCGAAATTATGACCATGTCCAATTTGACTCCTAGGAGGTAGATAATGGCATCCGGTTCTGCTCGAACTAGTTCTAACGGATTGGCCAGTCGGTACTAGATGCCATTATTCACGTCCTCGAGGGGTCTTTGTACGTTGGTGGTATACTCGAAAGCTCGGATAATCTACACGCATTGTCTTTAACAATCGCCGTTCTCGCTGTTCGGGTTGTTTTATACATTAGAGAACGGACTAGAGTACACACAGAAAAATATCATTCTCAGCCAAGGAAAGCAATTATTTTACTTTACTTGTTTTAAGTAGTACTTTTCTTCAACAAAGAATAGTTTTTTAATAATAGTTTTAAAATATCCTCGTCACAAGTCTTGGAGAAGCTCATCATTTTGTGCTCCAAAAGAAGAATATATTCTTTTTTCAAGAATATTATGAAACTTTATCGAAGAAAAGCTAGAATTAATTTGAATATTAACGCAGGAATATTTATTAGATAGAAGAAATTTTTAGTATGTTTCTTTCAATTCTATGCAACAGAATCAAAAGAAACAACATATAGTGGAAGAAAGTTATTCTTGCTTGGAGTAAATCCATGTTCTCAATTGAAATAAGTATATTTTTTCTAGAAACAATGTTATCTCGGAACAAGTAATTACTTTTATTTTTATGGGCTAGTTTGCCATGACTCTTTAGGTAAGAATATGAAATACTTAAAATCAATGAATTACTTCTTCTGAAAACTTAATACTGCAGCACTAAGAATATCAGAGATGTGGTCTAGTGGAGTAAAGTGTCTCGTAACCACGAAGAACCGGGCTCGAGTCTACCTGATTACAGTAATTTTAATATTCTAAACTGTACCGCTCCGCACAAGAACTTCCTAAGAAGCCCTATGTTCCACTTAGGAATTAAAGGAATCAATCATCATCATCATATCATCATCATCAAGAATATAATATCTTTTTGGTAGTAAGCGATTTATAGAGGGATAAAATTTATACTTGATTCAAATAGCAAACAAACTGTTCTCAAGAAAATGTGACATCTTTATTAAAGTATATGATTCTCTTCCATAGACTCTGTATAATAAGCAAACCGAATTTTTGTATTAATTAAATATTCTTGTTTTTGAAGAATTTAAACTTGCTAAGATACTGAATATGTTTTGAGTAAATGTGATGCTTATGATGACTTTATGATAGATTTATAAACGGATATATTAACTTATCCACTTAAAACAAGTAATATTTACTTGCACAGGTACATATTTTTCTGCGTGTAGAAACTTCTTTTTAGCTCAGAGTAATTTACTTAGGAAAGTGATGAGTTGCGGTAAACGTGTCGCGGCAATATAGAAACAGAAGTAGAAACGCCACATATGATATAAAAGTACAAAAATGTTAATGAGAAGTTGTGGAAAAAGTGTGGCGGCGAAATTACAGACGATTGTAGAAAACGATCGCGTCGTAATAGAAGGACATTAACTGGCACTGTCGGCAGCTTGTGCGGTTTCAGACAAGTATAAAAGAGACATAAGATATCCCCCTACGAAGTACGCCGTGAGCAGATACGAGAGTGTCTTCCCTCGTCATCGTTTATCGTTTCCTTCGCCGGAGAGAAGATCTCCCTTAACTCGCGCGCAACTTCTTTTTAAGACAAACTAACTTTCCCGCTAACATTCCCGCTATCTTTCTCTCGCTCTTACCGATTAACTGATCTAGCTCGCCCGCGATGTGCGTCGCGTCGCGTCGCGCGAAGCGCGCACGTGCACATGTTTCACGTTCGCTTGAGACAAATTGACAATTATTGCCAGGAGCGGACTGTCAGCGGCTGGAAGTACGAGAGAGGGTGAACAGGGTACTCGAATTTTCCGTGTCGCGGTAACGATAGCTCGGCGGCGAATCGATCACGGTGCCGCTGAACGAGAAAATTATCGAGAGCCGTCGACGAAGAGGAAACTCAGGGCGAGCACGACCAACGACCGATCTCGGCCTTAAAAGGCGGCGAAATCGAAGATCGAGCTCACGTGGACCTTTTAAAGGGCGACGCGCGGGCCATTTTGTCGTCGGTCCGCCGCGCCGTTGCCCTATTACGATAACGATAACCGCTTGTACGTGATATCCCCCGCGCCCTTAAAAGACGACGATTATTATTGCGACGAAATTATTTGCTTGGTGCCCCCCCCCTCCCCAACTTAAGGCGCTTGAAGAAAGTGTTGTGTATATGGTACGAGGTCCCTAACGGTTAATATTTACACTCGAGAGAAGCGTTCGAAAGCTGTCACTGTTAGTTTTCTCTTAAAATTCCCTAACATCCTACGATATCGATTAAACACTAAATATACATAGCAATGTTTCCAATCGTTGTAGACGGCTGACGCGCCGCTCTTGCCGCGAAAAGGGCGCGACCCTGCGCGGCGGGGAAACGCTCGATTAAATTTCTCCTCGACGAGCCAAACTGTCTCGCGCTTAATCAAAAAACCGATACGCGCGCGAATATCACTCGTTCGGTTTGTTGTTGAGATAAAAAATAGCGGAATGTCAATTAGCATCGCGCGTTTCGGTCTCGGGACGTGCGGGATCGCGAGAGCGAGACCCGGAGAGAGCGATGCTGGGCAAGAGAGGAGGGGGGAGAGGAAGGGAGACCGGACCCGATGAAATGAGAGAAAAATTTAGTTTAATAGATTACGATCGGTAATCGAGGAAAGTGCAGCGGTCAATGGACGATCAAATAATCGTACGGGGGGGAGTGGGCGAGGAGGGGGAGGGGGACGCTATTTGAACGGCTCGCGGTAAAAGCGCCGAACGAGCCTTAAATTTCATGCCACGTTCCACGTCAGATATTTAAACCGATAATAAATTTCGCGCCGCGCACACAGGTGCACCCCAGGCCATCGCCGTTCCGTCCGACCGTGTAGGGGGGAGAAAGAGAGTCGCTTGCACTTTACGGCCGCTCTTTCAGGGCGAAATTCAAGGGAGAGCTCCACCGCGCGCAAGGCACGCTTAAGCATATAACGTGCCTATATATATATATATCTATATATATATGTATGTTACTCGCGAGAGCCGGGCTCTTTTTCATTATATATCACAATGTGGTCGAGGGCCTCTCTCTCTCATCCTTGCGCACCCGATATCTCGAATCTTCCTATACGCTTCTCCTTTTTTTCTCTTTTTTTTGTTCAATTACGTACACATGTAGTTATTGTTGTCTCATCCCTGTATTGTCGGTTCCTTAACGCTGGTAGCTTCTCGATTCTCCTCGTTGCATGAAGGCGATGTTGGTAGAGATAGAGAAATAAAGTTGGGCTTATACAATCTATTATACGCTTAAAATTCGTCGTCGCACGATAATACGTTTTACCTTTTGCGGCAATTACCTTTTTTTGTATCTATATATCTATATATATATATATTTATTTTGTTCGTACGTATATATATAAACATATATATATATATGTATATATAAATTAAAGATTCGTCACGGCACAATAAATAATACGACGCGCGCGTGCATGGCGCAGGTCGGGTTACTGAATTATTTATATGACGTCAGTCTTGTGTGAGGCGGGCATCGAAGCTCGCTATCGTTCGCTCCTTTAAATATCGTTACGTCGATCTCGTCGCGGCTTTTTTCTCCCCGATGTCAAGCGTCGCGTCGCGTCGCCTGGCGTACACGTTCGTGCGCGCGAATAATTGAAACGCCCGCTTATTCCATCAAGCCGGTAATTAATTATCTCTTCGATCCGACGTAACGATCGCGCCATCGGATAAATATCTCATCCCGATCCCCCCGCCCCACTCCCCTCCCCGGTCGTTTTTCTTCCCCCCTGGTTTGCCGCGCGCGCGTTTCCTCCTGGATCGATAGCGAGCTCGATCTTGTTGCACATGCGCGCCGAAACAGACCAAATCATTAACGCGACTCTTCCTTGAAAATTCGTCTTCACGCGTTGACGTGTGTATATTCTCCGTAACGGTTGTACACATCGTTTGCCCGTGCCACTTGGAGAGATTGACGGGCGGAAGTGGCGTTTCGCAATGTCATAAGTTACATCCCGTTCGCGAAATTCCACTTCGCGAGCGTAGGAGGAGAGACCTGGCAGTGTTAAAACGTGATGGATGCTGAAGAGGTCGACTCTTCTTCCACCAATGAGTAATATGAAAACCGCGGACATTTGGGGAAAAAAAACGTCGAGCGTACATCGCGATTTTCACATTGTCAATTTTCGTGAATCTCGCGAGCGAATCTCCGGAAGAGTCGCAGTTTTGCACGAGGTCATCACTTTACCATTAAAAACTGATATGCCAATTTAATTATTTAATACAGCTTCGATTACGAGATTACACTTATCCGTAGGAATATCGTAGGTCGAATCTCCTGAAAAGACCGTGCTCGAGATTGTCGCCTACAATATGTTTGGAAAAAATTTTCGTATAATTCGTCGATGGCAGTGCTCGTCGAGAAGAGGGTCTCTGGTTTCGCGACGGACGCGACCGCGCCGCGATCGCGTCGTTTTTTTCTTCCTTTCTTTTTCTCGCGATGCGCTAAACTCGAGGAGAAAAAAATATCGTCGTTGTAACAAGCGGGATTACGACCCCTTTCGCCGCGCGGTCGCTCACAGCGTTTACTTCGAAATATACAACGTGTTACTTTTGCCACCGGTCTTTACCTCGGGATTAACAGCGCGCGCGTGTTTTCATAGTATCCTCACCGGCACTGGGAGCTATTTTACTCTGCTCCATGCTTGCGTTCCTTCCCTTCCGACGCGTATAAATATTGTAAAATGCGCGTATGGAGTAAAGCGTGTGGAACGCTTTGCAAAATTCAGGACCACGCGTGTGAATAATTTAATTCTATCAACAATTTTTTCACAAAGAGAAGAGACACGTCAAGAAACGACAATTTAATTTGTACAGTTGATAATAGCGTACTCTCTAAATCTCATAGATTCGAGTGGTTTTGTCACTAATATACTAGAGTGATTGCGATAGTCACTCCAAAAGAGAGAGTTGTCACTCTAATTTGAGTAAGTGCGGGCACTTATAATGTAGGAGTGAATTTTTCACTAAAATTTTTAAAGCGGCTACTTTACCGGAGTGACATGATCTCACTCTAAAGCTATAGTGAATCACGATTCATTCAAGATCGACTGATAAATGACTCTAACGGAGTAAAATTTTCCACTCAAAATTGTAGAGTAACGTAATTCATTCCTATGAACACTGATCTACTGCACAAAAAAGTGCCCTTTTACTCAAATAGAGTGCGATTTCACTTTCCAACTTATAGAACGCATTTTTACTCTTTTTTAGAGTGGCGAAGTGCACAGGCTTAATTTTTACTTTTCGCGTTACACTTGCATTTCACTCGTTTTAAGTGACATTTCACTCTTCGACTTTTAGAGAGTATGAATGAATACTCATCGAGTTGCTATGATAAAAGCGCTATAAAACGAGAATTATGATAAAAATATGAAATTGGATCAATAAAAAGCGTATCTTTTACTACCGCGACATAATAAAGCAAGACTATTATTAGTTAAACATGAATTTCTCAACCAATTGCAAAAGTAAAGAAGTTATATTTATTGGAACGTGAAATGGAACAGAATTCTTGGAAGGTGAACCAGTGCCGGAGGGTTCGCTCGATCACGCGATCTCGTTGCTCGCAGTAACGAAGAATCCATCATATCTTCGATCCTTTCGCTTTTCATGAATATCCTGCGGGCTGCGAGAAGTCCTTACGCGTATCTGTGCAAGGAGTGCTCGCGGCGCTTACTACTTCTACGCTCACGCTCGCAAACTGGTTCCGGACTCGGTGGATTCGAGTACGTTAAGTTGTTGGAACCTCGAAGAGGTGGTGCGCTCATCGGGGGCGGTGGCGGCGGAAAAAAGCTCTGCAAGCACGCCTAATGCATCGGAAAAGCACATGAAACGTTAACGCCTTCGTGTGTCCGGCAAACACGTCTCACAGAAAATGCTCTTTCGCTTCCAAAATAGCCAGAAAAGGAACATGTTTCTAATCTTCGTTTTAATTTGTTAGTTTTTAAATAATTGTTATGAAGAATTCTATTTTTATGATTCGAGTTACGCATAATGCGAAAGAAAAAAATCATAGTTATGTCATTGAAGATATTTCAACTTGAGATTTTAATTCTCAATGTGACAAATGTTTTTATGTCTCACCTTTGCGCTACCTCTGGAGGACGATTTCGAGAACACGCTATCTTGATCGCTGCTTACGCTAGGCACGGGCATTGGTACTGCATAATCATACGTGGCATCTGTGCAGCAAAAACAATTTTTTTTCACTGCCCTGCGAGTAAAGCGCCTTTTTTTCAGGCGACATATTTATTATTACATGATTTATATTTGATAAATTTGAGGATCGCGAGTCAGGTAAAATAGGTATTTGAGATTGCGTGCAAATACACAAAGGGTTATTAAACTAAGTAACGCGCGGTATAGTTAGGCTATTTCGTCTATTTCGTAATTGTACTCTGAAGCACCGCGGCCATGCTGAAGAAGTTCAAAAGGGACTCGACTCACCAGACTGCTCTACGTTGTCGTGGAGGTCCTTGTTGTCTACAACAACCGTGCTGTATCCGTAGTACGCCGCATGAGGAGATTCCCGATACTTGTTCTCGTGGAAAGGTTCCTGGTACTCGTCAAGCCTGACATCGCCCAAAAGACGATCATTGAGATCGCGCGGCAGGGTCGTGAGCTTCGTGCCGGCGTACCGGTCGTCGAGTTCCTCGACCCGGTAGGTCATCAAGGAGGGATCCTTCTCCGTGGTGCCGTACGCGGATTCCGGCGACAGATGCTGATGATTGCCCGTCGGAATCGCGCTCTTGGCGCCCAGGGGGCTGGCAAAGTTCTTCCGCTGTCTGTGACGCGTGACTATTAGGAATATGGCGACCGCCAGCAGCAGAATTACGACGGTCAAGACGCCGATGATCACAGCCATGTAAGTTGGATCGTCCTGCTTAGCTACCGGAACTTCGGCTGGCAGCGGATTTTCGCGAGTCAAAGTTCTGCCCCGCAATCGCGGGGCCTCGGTCGTGGGCGGCGTTTCCGGGGTGAAGTTACCGTGAGCGATGTCTGCAACACGATAGAAACACGTGCCGCTGAGTACGGTATTTTCTGGTGCTAAAGTTTGACGACGTTCGTTAATTGAAAATGTAAGGCAGTAACACCGACTCTATATTAGTAATAATAAATCGTGCAAATTTACATTTTTAAAACTACATGTTAAAATTATTTATATAAATTATAATTCTTTTTAAATTATTTACAATAATATTAATATTTTTAATTTATATTACGCCCGGTATATATTTAAAATATTTTTTATCGAACTTCAATTGTGTACATTTATTAAGCAGAATATTAATATATATACATATGTATATCTATCAGTCCTTACGTCCCACGCACGGAAAAAATTTCTAACATTACGGTTTTTAATGTTGGATTAAGCTGCGTGTCTGGTTAGATATACGCGATTCGATAAACGTTTTGTCACAACTTCGAACTTTTTACTCGAACCGCGAGGGCAAATCGCGAAAGTAGAGAAAATTGCAGACGCCGTGCGTTACAACTCACCGGAATCAAAAGTGACTTCGCTGATCATAATCCATCGCGAGGCAAAGCTGAATCTCAATTTGACGAACTTGCCGATCCGGTGGTGCAGCTTGATTGTGATATTTCTCGGTTGCTCGAAGATTTTGTCCTCCATGTAGGAGTACACGATGGGATCACCCGTGTAGTACTTGCCACCGATGCTGAACATAACGCTGACCTCGGAGAATATCTGAAACACAAGGGAAAAAAATAACAATATAATATTATCGCATTAATATTTTTATAAGCGGCGTTCTGTGAACGAGGGGAGCCATTCTAAACTATCGAGCCTGATTTACCGCACGCGATTCGATCGGATAAAGCACTATGTGTTCAGAGCTACCGTGCGGAATTAATTTGATCGGAAGCATACCCACCTACACACACCGCAGATACTCGATTACGTCCGCGTAATCAGTATTATCGCCGTTATTACCATCGGTAACAGATAATTAGTTAACGGCGCGCTCTCCGGGATGACATCGACGGTTTCGATAATACGGAGTATCTCACGAACGCGTTCCGAGCGAGCGAGGACGCGTGGAATGCTAATTTCATCCCTCGAAGGCGTAAGACAATTCGGCGAGGAGAATCCAAGCCGTGTGAAACGGACGAAAGACGGAGGGAGCGGGCGAAAGGGAGAGAGGTACGAAGGTAAGACAGCATAGGAGTTAGGGACGAAGATTACAAAGCCGAGATTATCTAACTCCCTTAGACCCAAAGACGGGAGGCTGTATGGATTTTCGACGTACTGAAGCCTACCGCCCGCGGATGCGCCGAGAGAATGAGGAAGTCGACGTAGAGGAAGTGGCAGCCGCGAAGCAGCCGTGGAGAGAAAGACGGGGCGGTGGTGGAGGAGGGTGGGGAAGGTGGGGTAGTAGCTGGCGATGCTTTGAAGCGCTGTCTTTCGGGAGACGTGTCCTATCCGCGCGAGCGCGCGCTTGTTAATAGGAGAGGTCGTTTAGGGGTAGCTTCTGCCACTCCGCAGCCCCATTCGCCCCGAACTGCCGACTTGCCAGACTGTCGGTATTGTATTTGAATACGTGGCGTATCTGCTCTCTCGGTCGTTGCTTACTACCATTGTATGCACGAGATAGAGAGAGAGAGAGAAAGAAAGCGCGGGAGGGAAGGAGAGAAAGAACGTCGCATCCTGCTCTCTTCTCAATGTTCGTCTCTCTCGGATCTCCATCTCCTCCCGTCTCTATCCCGCGAAACCCTCCGCTGGTCTCCCTCACGAATCGCCGTAGCCTCAGTCTTGACTGCCTCTCGTCGTTGGCCTGCCCCATGGTTCTCCAGCTCGCTCGATCGCGGGCGCACAATCGGGCTCGAGCCGGGTAATGAGGCGCTCCATTCAGATAAATCTTGATACCGGTAGGAGAGTGTTTCGTGGCCTATTATGTAGGGATTCTCGCGCGGAATGATGATGGGGCGCAAAATTTTCGCGGTTAACCAGCGCGCGTATTAAGTTTCGTAACTTTCCCGGTGCGGCGAGAATTACATAACTGTTGACAGCACGGGTATTAATTAACTTTACCTGTATGAGCTTTTGCCGTGACAAGCTTACATAATTTGCAATTTAATTCGTAGTTGTACTTTTTGATTATATCTCCTATGACGAAAATTATCTTCAGTGATTCTCGATCGTTCATCGAATCAGCAATGCTTTTAATTTGAGTGGATTAAGATAAATACAATATACCTCGTCTAACTTGTGCTTGATATTGCATGTGCGATTGACTCGAATAAATTTCGATAACCATAGCAAAGATTTATGTCTGTGAAGTTTAAGAGATTGATACATTCCAAACTAGGCTTTCTCGTTTCATGTTCCATCTAACATTTCATTAACTGATAAAATTTACTGATCAAAGTTTAAATGACATTCCGCTGTAGTTCACAAATTATTTTCAATTGGTTCGTTTAGCTCTTATTAGAGTAGCCCGGTAATTTTTCTTGAAATTGTGTCTCGCTATCTCGAGCATCTAAGTGCCGAATTATTTTATTAAAATACATCTCGTTGCCATTAGCCGAGTGTTCAGCGAGCCATTATGTAAACACTCAGGCGTAAAGAGGACCGTGGGGGCGAAAAATTTTTACGGAAAAAACTGACGTCTCCGGCAAAGCCACGGCCACCGCGCACCGCCGGCCGTCGCTTGAAGCGAAACGCGGATCCAGCAAGCCGCGAGTCGTTTCCTTTTTCTCCTTCCGTCCGTTTCAGCCGAACCCAGGGGCTAACCGTTGTTGCGCCTCGTTACCCATCCTACGTCCGACCTTGACTCCAACGTGAAAACTGGATTTCATGCCGTATACCGTCTCCTCAACCCTATGGATTCTTTCTTTTTTTTTTTGTCTTTTTACTCTCTGGGCGTGGATTAAAGGCTGGCGGAGGATCTTTGCGCACATTTCGCCGCGACTGTCCGTCTTTCCTTTTTACGCCTTTTTCTCCGTCCTTCGCCAGCCGCCTACTTTATTCAGCAGCCGTTTCGTTCTCACCGACAAGTCAGTGCCGTCAGGCATTCCAATTTCCTCTCTATACCGTACACATATCCGTTTATAGTTTTTCCCCGCTTATTATCGTGCAAATACGGTCTCGCCACGGTTATCCTCTCGATCTCGAAGTTTATAGCGAGATATGATAAATGGACATACGTAGCTAATGGGCAGTGACAGATAGGACGAATCTCGAAATCAACCATTAATCATAAAATCAATTTTAAGCAGATTTTTTTTAGTAAGTCTTCTACTTTATATAAGTTTTATATTTAATATATTAAACAAAAAAAATCTATATATAAGTAAGATATTGATAAGAAAGATATTTCTAGGGAAATATAAGTATATGCACGATGATTCAATTTACGCGCGGTTCTGTTTTATAAATGTATAATTTAAAAAATCATTTGTTACACACTAAAACGCAAAATGTCAAGTAGATATTACCTGTATGTCCTTAGTGAATTGGTTGTTGCAGTAGATGTGAATGGCCGAGAATTCTCTGACGTGGTCGAATTCGAATTTGATCTCGAGCGGATGCCCGGACCTCGATTCGTTCTTCCAGCCGACCCATCCCTGACTTCTGTCGTAGTTGTCAAAGTAACTCATTTTAATGGATTCCGGCCCGATCCTGCCGTCTGTCAGTTGTCCCAAACCGCGAAGAAGTTGTCCGTCCCAATAACCGTCGTAAGTCGCGTCGAAGAATTCCCAATTGTTGCGCTTGTCACCTTGGGGCATCGAGTAGGAGACGATGCCGTCGTTCCAAGGGCACCCGTAGAGCTCGACGCGCATGCAAACGGTGCGACGGTGGTAGCTGTAGGGTAGGAAACGAATTTTGCTCGCCCATATTGATGGATCCAGTTCGTGCTTCGACTCCAGGTAGGTGTTCTTGTTCCCTTGGATAACCTGAACAAACGGAATATTGGAAATTGACGTCAATATTGTCGAACGTGGTTTTGCAAGAGAATATATTTTTCGTCTGTCTGAATTTTTTTAATTCTAGACATCTCCGGCTGTTTTATATCGGAGTTATATAACGATGATCTGTATTGACTATTGATAGATCCATCGTTCGACGCGCAAACTATTCAAACTTACTACACCCAGGCGATATACGGATGTATATTAGATCGTGATTGACAGAATGAAGTATAATACGATACGTTTAAATTAAATGATACTATTCATGCTACGCGCACACGTCATGTTAACTTTATCGGTGAATAAACAGATGCAAGATTCCGCGACGTCCGACGCCTGAGATGAATCAGCGTCCGTGTAAAATCTTGACCCTTGCCTCATTTACGGACATTCTCAGGCGGCGGAGATAGCGAAATTTTTCGCCAGTGCGCAATATAAATTGCGCCACACTACACCGTAGTATTTCTGCGCTGCGTGATTTCAGGCTTGGCGCGCGCTCTTTCTCTCTCTCTCTCTCGCATAGAACAAGGCTCGTTCTATTCGATCGGTCGACCGTCGAAACGTATATCGCCGGGGAGGATCGAGAATTTCTCGGACGGCGTCGTCGTCGAGGAAAGAGGCCCTTTGGAACAAAGGACCTCTTATTTTCCACTTATGAGCTCGCCAGCGCCTCTCGACTCGTTCGCACGGAATTCTCACGTATAGTCGGTTACGTGACCGTGTAACCATCACCATCGCGATCCCGACAGGTGCAAACACTTCTTTATCTTTTATTTTTACCCTTTCCACGTTTGTTCCTTCTTCTCTGTTATCTGTTATGCTTATGCTCGTCGGGCGTTAAATAGTGTTCATTACATTACGGTTCTATTATATATCGTGATTTTAATGAATTTAATATGCTTAATCGATTCTGCGCACAACACGCATTATGATTAAATTTAATTACGAATATTCATTTGTAGTACATCAGGACAGATAATAAGAAGATATCAAGTATTACAAAGGATTTGTTTAATAAAACGATTTTTGAATGCACAATACGCGCTTGATAATAGCTTAACTTTAAACTACCTAATTTTATCACTCGCTTGAAAAAACAAAAAAGTTATCAAGAATAAGACATTATGTTTTACTCGCCTTTATGAAGCTATCATATTTTATAGTAGAAAATGAATTAATACATGTACAAATTTTTTTATTTCAATTATGTGCTTCTAAAAATAAACGTGATAAGCCAATTATTAATAATTTCTACAAATTCGGACATATTTTTCCACGCATTGTATAACTATGTAAATGTATTTTTAAAATAAACTTGATATTCTTTTATGATTTATTCGCGAATCTTGAGAGATCCAGCTGGACTGCCGGAAAGGGTGAGGGTTAACAATGAATTATTCAGTTAGCCATACACTCGTCTTTTTGCGGATCTATTTCTATTTTGTACCTTTTTGATTTTTCTATTTACTAGAAAAATGAGCTCACGATCGCACGATGGGAAACGCGTTTAAAGATGATTCTCGTGACCGCGCGAACCGGCACGTTCCGCGCTGGGTGGCGCGGTAATTGGGACCGGTAGCTGACACCGTTTTATTTGCGCCGCGACGCGGCGGTACCTGATGTTTAGCACATTGAAACGGACGGTACCAAGGCGTCGGATGGGCAAATACAATGAACCGACACGTGAGAAATTTTCTGCTAGGCGACGGAATCGCATAGTGGGCGTTTCCGGAGGTTGACAGTTACGTGTGTAGCTTTGCCGAGTGTATGTACGTAATAGCATCCTGTTTCTCTCCTCCGATGATTGTATCTGGAGTTATTTTCGCACGTCGGAAAGCGAGAAGGGGTTAAAGCTTTGTATTAATACACCGCGAAGTATTTACTGTGGAATATTTGCACGTGGAATGTTGGATACTTAAAAAATCCATGCAGGAAAATGATAAGGTTTTAGAATACATGGATATACGTGGGATATCTCCCTTCCTTTAAATATTCATATAGGTACTACAATGTGTGTAGTTTTGTAATTTTTTTTGCGAAGAATCCCCATCGAGGTGTCTCGACTTGGCTGTTGAAAAGTACATTGGATATTTAGTACTGTCATTTATATCGCGCGTTCTTACTTTATAACCCAGATTTCGTTACACTCGCCGGCACGATGCGACGCGACCAGCTGCACTATCGAATTTTTTTACGAAGATGACTCACAATTCGGCGGCCGGTTTCGCGTGCGGTCGGTCCCCGATGCGGCGGCGAATCTTAATTCCCGAAAGACCCCGAGCGAACGACACTGAGCGACGAGGCCAAATTACGACGGCATTTACGAGCCGTTGAGACGTGCGCCGAGAAAAATAAGTAATCTTGATATTTATCTTCCGCGCCCACGCGCGCGTCGCAGACCGGCCGAGGCCCGAGCAACGTCGGTCTGCTTTGTCGTGAAAGACTTTTCTCAAGCACGCCGCGACGCGCCGAGGTGAACGATCGTCTCTCAAATTATTCCTCGACCGTGTCGCTGCAGTTTCTCGTCACTTTTCGTGGTAGGCGAATTCCAACGAGCGACTCGAAGTCACGAAGTGGTGCGAAGGCGTGGCGGATAGCAACACCCATTTTATGTTAATGTTTTGTGCGTGTTGCTTTTTGTGTATGTGGATCGGTCGCGGTAGGCTGCTACCGTTGCAGCGTTGGTAGCTGAACGTCGTAGAGGCGGTGTTGATGGCCACGCGTCGTCGTGGAAGATTATGAGGGATAAACATCTCACGGCTGTATTTAAATAAAAACTTTCTGTGACACATGATGATTATGCAGATTTATGATATACATTAGTAGATTTTTGTGATAGGACTGCCAATACTGCCAATACTGAATATCAATTAATGTATACACTACCGCTCTAAAGCCACCTTAAACAAATTTCGAGAGAAATTTTATTAGAGATGAGTTTATTAATAAAATTTTAATAAAAGTTAATAATTTGCTACATGTCTTTATTGCATAGATAGATAGTTACATGTTATTTAAACAATATTAAATGATTTGACAAGAAAGTAACATTATTTTACATTTTTGCCTCATTAATGTAGCCGTCACGTTTTTTTATCGCAGCCTTACACAGTTGGGATTTTGTTGATTAATTGTAATTGATTTTTGGCTTCTACAAAACCAACGTGATGATCTCGGAAAATGTATTCTTTATTTGAGATTTTCCGTACGCAAAATAATTACATGAAATTAGGAAGTAAGGGATACCAATATAACATTAGTTTTGTTAACAATGAGTACGTGCCATGCAATAATCTCTACTTTAAATTGAGTTTACTGCAAAAAACTAGAATGTTTTACATTTTTTCTAGGATGGCAAATACTTTTGAGCGGTAATGTATATGCTCACAATCAGACATTAATTAGACATCAGAGGACCCGATAACAAGGCAATAACGCATATTATCTATTCTATCTGCTATTATCGGATATTAAAATGAATTATCTTCTCTTAGGACACTATTTTTAATAGTCGTCGCGTTCAAGATCATTGAATGTAAAATATAGACGATGACAGCTGCGTTGTTTCTATCGGTGATGTCGTCCACATCGGACCGGGGTTATTAAGAAAGATTATGTCTCGGATAAACCGAGTCCCGTGGTGTAATTAAGCGAGGGATAACGCGGAGCGCGCACAGCGGGAGGAAGAGACACAAATTTCTGCAGGTTTATCCCTACTGCTGATGTTTTCTGGGTGGGCCCTTCCATTCCAACAGGTACCTTACATCGCGCCACAAGCGAATTATATGGGATATGCAAATGATTACAAGATGAAAGATATTTCTCGGATATTTCATTTATTTTCTTTCTATCAAGAGAATTGTATTGAGAGTTGCTGTGAAATAATGGCTACGCATAAATCAATAGAAGTATTTTTCATAATTCCGAGACTTCATAAAATTTTTATGACCTTCCTTTTTATAGGAGAAATGGAATGTACAACAAATTAACTGAATCTTTACATTATAAGTACTTCTCTTCACAAATCATTTTTTACGTTTGTTGAAATGAGAAACATTCTTTTATCTTATGACTCATAATTCGTAACTGCGACAATGAGAGGCAAATGCATGCATTGGTACTATTTTCAACTTTGTTATGATATGAATCTTACAGTGTCAATATCAATGTATATTATATATATAGATGTTAACAATAGTGCTTTATCGGTTGAATTAAATAATTTATCATTTTAAATAATTTATCGTGCGTACAATCAGCCTTGGTGCTTGGTACCAGATGATATCTTAAAATACACAGATGGAAATGTTAGAAGTGTACGTAGCGTCCGTATTAAGGGAACTGCACGTAATACGTATATAGGAAAACCAAGTCGCTTCGCGGCTGCATGCAAATGTGGCTCGGTCCGCGTTCCTACGGATTCGACCTTCGTCGTATACACGCGCTACCAAAAGCATTCGCATATATCCAGACAGGTACGCCTATGTAGGTGAGCCGGAATCGTCTGACCCGTCTGCACGCTACTACCTTCTCTCTTCCCTCATTTTATTGATCCACCCTTCTATACAAATAAGCTCGCGCCTGCCAACTCCCAAGGAAAGCTACTCCCCGAACGCGACCGGACGCGCTCGGCCTCTCTTTCCTTTCGTCAGTTTTCGGAAATTGATGACATTCTCCGGCTCGTGAGTTGTCGAGTCCGCACTCGAGATAGATTTCCGCGAGCCGAAACGCGAGGCAGGCACGCGTTAAATAGGCACGTGCCGCGCGGAGACACTGACTGATTTTACGAGGCGCACGAGGTGGACGTTTCCTTGATTTCGACGCTGGGGTACGCCAGCCAGTCCGGTAAATTACGACGGAGGATTTATGGATTATTCGAGCGTACGCCGCGCCAGGAGTCATCTTATTACCACTTTCGCGAATCGCCGAAATTCGCCGGCCGCGACTGCCGAGCGCGAAATTTATTCTCGCTGCCGGACGGGGTAGATCGCCGGTAGCGATGTGATTATTGCGGACGGCGCTAATTAAAGACTTAGGTTCACGGTTACCAGTATATCTGTGTAAATTACATCACGTACCGCGCGCCCCGTACGCTCTCCAACGCGGCATATTACATCGGAGATTTACGTCTTGTTAACGTCACGCTTTAGTTACTACCCGTAGCCGCGCCGCAGATACCCGCGGACACAACTACAAATCATTCTCAATAATCGTGCGTGCGCGCGCTCGGCGCTTTATGCGTATTGCCCGCGACTAAATTTAACCGCGTGACTACGTCCGTACGTAATCCTACTAGCGGATTGGATCGCCGCAATCGCTGTGTCGAATCAAATCGCCAAACGAAATGTCTTCTACAGCGCGCTGCCGATTCGCACGATTAAATCGGTCGCTTTAGATAGCGGATTATATATAATGAATTCCGCGGTCTTGTCAGTATGGGAATCTTGTACGTTTTGACCCGCTGCTTCGCAATCTATAAATACGCCGACTACGCCCGTTCTGTATCGCACTAATTTCGAGGCACATCCCTGACCTCGATTATTCTGAACTTCTATTCGTTCTCGACAAAAGGTATCATCAATATAACATGCTGTACGTATGTTAATCATTATTCACATAAAGATATAGATCGGAATAACGGAGAGTAAGATTCACCTCTTCGCCATGCAAGTTCCTATAGCGAACCCACTTTCCCAGTTTCGGCCTCCAGTACTCCAGCATATACGCCTCCGAATACTCGACACCCTGGCCGTTACCGAAGCGGCCCTGAGTGCCGGTCGCCGTGATCGTGTGCACCGTGTGAAGATCGATTTCCAGCCACTCGCGCGGCTCTGCCGTGATCTGCTGCTTCGGACACCAGGCACCTCCGTGGCTCTCCTGCTTCAGCCTGGAAGAATAAATATTTGTTCTGGGATTACGGACCTTTATTTTCCCTTTCCCGCTTTCTTATCGCGCTACGATCGCCGAGGGAAAAAGGGAGAGCTTCTCCGGGGGAATCCCATCGTGAGGAAAGGAAAAGAGTCGCCAACGCGCGCGCGTCCCATCCGAACTTTCCCGTCTCGCGTGACGCTTTTACGGATTCATACATTCTTATCTCTATGTAAATTCAGAGAGGTTTAGGTTTATTATATTTCGATTCGCTGTATTTCCCGTTTATAGCTTCATATAAGAACGTTCTAAAAAAAAACGGCACTTCAGAATTAGGTAAACCTTCCTGAATGCGGAATGCGGAATACGAAGAATGTAGCGCGCGGCCTCGTAATATTGAAATCTCTCTTTGAATGTTCGTTCGGGATTTGCGGCGTGCGGAGAATTCGCGCCCACATTTAGTTGATAAGAAAACGCCGTTATCGCGGTGGATGAATACCGAGAGCCGAGAGCGGAAGCATCGGCATCGGTCGCGCACAGAGGAAATCGTATAAATACGTGATCGGCCGCGTGTCTGACGGATAACCGTCAGCTCTCGCCAACGCGATACGGGATGAAATTATAATTTATCGATCGAACCGAAGTCCCGGATGACATGAATTAAAGATGAGCTGACACCGTCGCGGGGAAATGACGGCGAAGCCACTTCGAGAGCTGGCTAATAATTGTATTCGCATATACCTTTCGCGGGCTCGTCTATGGCATTAAAATGCTTCCCTGTGTCGTCCGCGATATGGCCATGAAATACGCACGACCGTGATACGCTTGTGGATACGATTCCACGGCTCGTAAACTAAGCCGACGAGAGCGAATCTGTTTCGAATTCTTTCTGTCGTCGTAAATTACTGCTATCCCGTGGACGTGATAATCCACGAAGCGGTATTACTTTATAGGCATTTATTAATAAAGCATATTTACCGAGGAGCATGGCACGCCGCATCGTGACGTGAATTTTGTCGTGGGCGCATTTATTAACTATGAAAAGTTTATGAAAGCATTTCTTCGGGAATTCCCCGACGGGATCCCTCGCTTACGACAACGCGAGGGTGCCGCCTTGTACGAAACACGACGGAGACGAGTGTACGGCGAAGGAAAAATTTAAGGAAGGGAAGAAAAAGAGAGATGAGACCCCCGAAGAGAGAAGCGGGTGGCGGGTGCCAAATGAATCCGCCGCGCGCCGGCGGAACTCGTGTACGCGCGACGAGCAAAAATGTTCTCGCGCAATAAAGAGGTGAGCTACCGTCCTCTCTGAAGTGTCAGAACTTTAAGTGTTGCTTTGACGTGGAAGACAGTAAAAGCCGGCCGACTAGGATTTGCCGTGTGTCTGTCTAAGGGCGCTTCCCGGCGTGGTTTGGCAAGGAGAATACAGAGTGAAACAGCGCGAAAGGACAGGACAGGAAGAGAGAAGAGGAGCGAGGAAGAGGCGGAACGCATAGAGAACGAGCAAAAGGAAGCCGGTGATGCACGGATGTAGAAACGGCGCGTGGACGCGGGCGGGAAGAAGAACGAGAAAGAGAAAGGAGTAATATCCGCCATACCGCCAAAGATCATAACTCATAGCCCATTAAGAGACCTCGAACTGCCTGGCTGCCACTTTGATACAGTCCGGGGGCATCAAAGACATTCCACGCGCACGGCGCACTCCTGGTCCGCGATAAATCTCAGAACGGACGATTACGCCGACTTGAACAGCGAGGCTGCCACGTCGGCGGAATCGGAGCGGGGTCCTTAGACGGGAGGAACCGATTATCGAGGAGGAATGGTTTGTCGAACTGGAGAGATGCGCGTCGCTCTCTCCGAGGTCGGGACTTAGGAACATGGAGGGAAATGATCCGTTGCTAAGGTGAATAAGATCCTCTCGAGCGACGTCGTCGGGGTTGTTGTTGAACGATCGAGAGGATTTCTTCGCGAGGATAATATTTTTCCATTTATGCGAGTACATCGATACACGCGCGCGTACATTTTATTACAATATATCAAATAACTGTAAAACGATTAACGTGTAAATATGAGTAATGTACTGTAAAGGATATTTTTTGGAAGGTATTGTATCTGCAAATTGGTGAATTGTAGGATTTTGTGATTTTTTTTTTAAATTTAAGCCTTACAAAGTAAACTGCTGTTCCGACTACTAGATACTAGATAGAAGTATTTTATGGTAAGCGGATAGGTAAGTAGGGTATTCGCCGCGCGAAGCCCGTAATACCGCGAAGCCTCAAAAATGCCGTCAAAGAAGTTCCTAGTCGACAATGCGGTCTGAAACGATACTGGCGGTTGTTGCACCGAAGGGGCTCTCGCGTGACGTTATCGATTGCGAAATTGACTTGCACGCGTATCTCCGTTTCATCTATCGACTGATTACCTATGCCTCGATACACGCCGCAATTAATTTCATGCATTAATCTGTTTTATGTTCACGCATCGACGATTGATTAATAGTGACGAGAGTTGATTACATCCCGCGGAATATTGAAAATTCACGCATGACTCGGTTAATACAGCAGAATTTCAATTACGGGCGAAAGGGCACGTGGTGGAGCGACTAATGTCTTGCGAGAGCGCGAGTTTATTAGCGCGCTAGGTGGTCCCGATGATTCTCCCTTGCGTTTGGACATTCGTCCCCCGTCTGTACGTTGTACTCCCGTCCGTCCACCTCGTCGTCGCGCGTTTGTCCCGCCGGAATGGTAATTAGCTGACACGCATAATCAAAGGAGTATGCTACGGGGCACGTTAACGACGTCTAAGAGCTTCGGAACGGCCGATACAAATGGCTCTGCATGCGGGAAGCCGCGCGTCATTAATCCTCATTGCGGGACTGAGGGCCGAATTAGACGTGCGGTTTAGTAGGGTGTGATTAATATACGGTGCGACCGCTCGACCGGTCGATCGTCAACTATCTCGAGGACAGACAGGATGACGGACGTGTCGCCCGCGCAGCAGCCCGTCGAATTGCTCAACTTGTAGATGATCTATCGCGAGATCTTTCACGAGAATGATGACTTTCCGCTTCTTCGGCCTCTCGTCGTTTCCGCTGTGTCGTTCCGCGCGCCGGGCATTCTTAAATAGCCTATAATCGAGAGCCAGTTACGAGTCACGAGTGAACAGATTGAGAACTCCCGAGTAGGCTTTTAGTTAACGCGCGGACACCGCACTCTCGACGAGATATGAAACCGGTGAATGCTCAAGCTGATTCGAATATCGCCGCATTATGCCGTCGATCTCGCAACGCGAACCGCGCACGCCGCGCCGTTGCGTTGCGTTTTTCACGGTCCGTAAGCTGAGCTAATATGATGAAATTTCCGGATTTGTATTGCGTCGGATTTGTGTGTGATGCGCGCTGCGTAAACGAATCAGTAATTCACTCACCGTGCGCGATGCGGCCCGACGTTTCCGCTATCGAAGCTGGAGCTCGCAGTGATGTCCGCGTCGGGAATCGCGCCCGACTCCATCCCCAGGGGTGCGATGCATTGTGCTGCAAATAAAGGAAATTGCTTCAATTATATGTTTGTCTCGGGCGAGAATAAATGAACGATATAAACTTCGGATGTAAAGTCCATTTTAGACACGCGTGCAGTACGAATTGCCTCGGAGAGCTTCAATAACCTAATAACACGATATTTTCTCGGTTGAATTTAGTTTCTCTTGAATGATAATCTGAATAGACGTTAATTTCTTTATCAATTTTTAGTTTTTTAATATTAAATATATAATATTATTAAATACCTAAGTTAAAACGCTGTTATAATAACAAATGTATTCGACATTTAAAACAGAATAAAATCTAATAAAAAAACATGCAGCATTTTTCATAACCAAAGGTCACGTAATGTAATTGATATATCATTTGTCTCGCATCAACGATATGCTCTTTTTAGCTTAAACTTTCTGTCGTCATTAAAAGTTGTTTTAAACAAGCCTGTTTTAAACAAGCTCTTATTTTCTCGAGAGAGTCGTGTTGCGCCGTTATTTTCGGCGAGAACTGAAGTTTATCAGGTTTCATTATGCGCGCTTGAACATCGCGGCACTACTTCTTTCGAGGTCAACCCGTGTAAACCCGCGCCGGTCGCGAAAACGATGAAAAAGGCATCGCGGGCGCCGCCGCGCCGCTCCGGAGCGTCGTATTTATCGCTCGGCCGGATCGCGCGTTCCGCGATAATTACGGCGCTTAACACGATACCGAGAACGGATTTCCATTTGAAATCGAAGAAAGATAAGTGCCGGGGATGACTTGAAATTATATATCCGCGCAGGCCTGCCGATGATCAAAGCAGCACTCGCGAACGAGAACGAGCCGTTGTACCTTGAGAAGAGGTCAAAGCAGATCTGTTGGCGTAGCAGAGAGATCGCGCCAGATTCTCGGGAAACGAGCGAATGATATACAGCTCCTTAGCGAGAAATCGTGGCGAGACTTGAGCGGCGCTTCGGTAAACTCGATAAATCCGTGGAGAAAATTCAACTCCGAATGACCCTAACGACAGCTGTTTCCTGAGCCATCGTCGGAACCGTCAACGATTATCGAGCTCGTTTATTCGTCCAACGATCTTAAATCCACAAACTTTTCTTCCGACCGCTTCCTTCATCGTCGCGGATGTCTGTCTGGCATCGAAAAGATGTCTGGCGTAAATAAGAGGGTTGTAAACATCTACTTTTTCCAAACGGCGCCGAAGATTTCGGGTTTGAATGAGATTTAAAAAAAAAAAAGGTAAAAACATTCATTCACTTTGACTAAATAGCAGTGCTTAATTATCCGATTAACGCAAAACGATAAGACAACATACATGCAAGTTTAATTTATAAACGGTTTGCGTATTTGACTTCTAGCGAATCTAAAGTTTTGTAACACGATATTAATTTCAATACATTTTTAAAAATAAAAAAAAGCATGAGTTATAAAACCATGTTTCTTAAGATTGCTGAATGTATTAGTTAGTGAAGTTTTAGGTAAAAATTTTAATTTATTTGTTTACATATATATCTCACTTGTTAATATTCTTTTGAGTGTGAATCAAAATTGCATGACGTACGTATCTTTCATATATAGATATGCAACAAACATTCAAGATATAAAAGTTTACAGAGAATAATATCCCTATTTTTCATCATTCGTTCTCTTCACTTTCACCCGAGCTTTCACCGCTCCGGGAGACGAGGAAACAATTATACAGAAGAATTTCTAGTAATCATCGCCAGACCTATATCAAGCTAAAAATACTGTCGGGGACTGTCTCAAGTTTCATTGAAGCGACAAAAAACGCATTCAGACAAATAAGTTTCGTAATCATTGCTATCCGGTGCGCGACACACGACTCTCGGAGATCGATCGTCTTCCCGTCGCGCTCCTTCCGGTACGCGCCCGATGCGACGGTGACGCGCGGTGAGCAACATCCAGCAACGAGAAGGCTTACGCTCCGAGATCGTCTTCGAGTAGTTAGGCTCCGAGTAGGCAGGCCGAGTTCGATTCTTGTATTTATAGACATCCTGGAAAAGAGTGCAGGGGAACGGGCAGAAGAAGAAGAAGAAGAAGTAAGTTATGCGACGTTTGGCCCGCCCCAGCCACTCATTCGGCGACCATAATTCTCGGGGAGTGACAGCTCCGAACGGAAGGGTGTGTGCCGCCCTCCATCCGCGAGAAGAGGGAAATTGAATGCCTTCGCAACCCCTCCTCACCATCTCAACGTCGGTCTCTCGTCTTCGCCCGCCCGCTCTCGTTCTCGCTCTCCTTCTTTAACCGCGTCACTGTCAAACTGATAACCGCTTCTTTCCAGAGAGACGGCTCTCCTCCGCGAAACCCGAGACAACCACGAAACGGTCGGCGAACAAGCCGCCGCCAGGAAGAGAACGCAATACGTTCGAGGCGACGTAAGAGAGATTGTAATAGAAAAATCGTAATAAATTCTCAGAGAAATTCTTCCGGCGCGTATCCCAGCACCCAGCGTTGCTTTTGTATCTGTTGTTACTTGATAGTCTGAGAGTACCGCGGAAATACAGTTTTTTCTCCGCCTCCACATTTCGTATGTTCTATATGCAATATATATATCTGCGTGCACGTCGAGTTGATAAACGATTTTCTCCGCCGCGAATCTCGAAATACCGAAATGGTAATTGAAACGTCTTGGCGTTGAATCAGACTTCCAACGGTTAAGTTACAAGTTGAGGCGGCGATGAAGGCTGCGCGATTTGTTAGAGATCTACGAATTGCGCAATATCGTAAATCTCTTCCTTTACAAGAACGGATCTCCTTCTCCGCCGTCGTTTGTCCTCTCCCGCGAAGCATTCACGTCGCACTCGAGGTAGCAAACCACTCCTCCTTCTTCAGGCAACTGAGAATGGTTCTGAATTAACCTTTAACACAGTGGTAAGTCACGTCTTTATCCGCTAGGTGAGGCTGACTTTAATAATTTAATATATACTCGGTGTAGTCGTTTGACTATGGAAACGGCTATGTTTTTCTCTGTATATAATTTTTTCAAAAAAATGCATGTAATTTGCTGCGATATACACAAGCGGATGCTCATTATGGATTTACACACATCACGTCTCATATACATAATTTTGTTCCCTTCATCCCGGACGAAGTCAAAGATCGTCTTTGGTAGACGAATACGGCAAGTAATTAGCGCGGCTTTTATAATAATGGCAAAGCAAATTGCACAGAAGACTAACGAATCTCTCGGCAAATTAGGGAAGAAAAATAGAGGAAGTGCGGTGAGGGTAGACACCAACAACGAGCTTTTCTATCTCGGCGAATTTAATAATTCGCATCACCCTTCCTTTGTTAATTCCAGGATTATTATTAATGACGGCGCACCAGAGTCGCGGTCGGCTTTCGGTGCGCTTACTCGCACTTCTCTCTCCTCGGGCACGAATGTAAATTAATTACGCACCGGGACTTTCACGAAAAACATATTAAACTTCCCCATCTCATTGCAGCACGATATTAGCGCATAAATCATGACTCGCACCTAATCCTCGGGTTAACTCAATCTTTGTTTTTTTCTTTACGTCAAAACGTCTCGACTAATTATAACGTACGAGCTGTCTCCTGCAATCATACATATCCTTAAACATTGTATAAAGAGAAATTGGTTATTATATCGTGCATATTTTTCAAATATTAAGACATTAAATAGCTATCTTGCAAAGCTCTATAGTGAAATTTCGAATCGTTAAGAAAATACGAATTTTATTTAAAGTCCCTTAAGATGCATTTGTTACATCGTTATTTCGAGGGCAGGTATATAACGTGACCGCGATATTGCAATACCGACATTTAATCCAGATTAAATTCTACACAAGATGTAACTTGGGTACTGTCTAGTCGTTTGTGTGTTAATGATAATCAGCTTCTCCGCACGGCTCAACTACGACGGGACTCGGGACTCGGTTCGTTATGTTTGCTCAACGGAATTAGCAGGTGGACACCTGCACCGCAAGGTTTCTCCCTTTCGACTGTAATGCCGCGCCCGTTTTCCGGGGCATCGGTGAAATTAGAATGAATGTTTGTAAGAGCGTCGACCCCGAAAGAAGTTCGTGCTTGCCACCCCCCTTCCCCCGAGTAATGCGCTGCACCCTTTCGTAGGGCCGTGAAAGCCATGAGGCGCGGTTTCCTCGGGCATTGTCAGACTTGGGGAGCCATTTTCGCCTCTTTCAGAGAAAACAAACATTCGTTCTAGGTGGAAGGTAACTCGGCGTCGACGAAAACGCGCATGCCCGTCCTCCTGGCGCCGCGACGGCTGGCAGAACGGAAGTACTACTTTTACACCGGCCCTCCTACTTCTCCAAGGTCCCTACTTCTTTCTCGCTCTTTCTCATCCCGTTCACCGCGTCCGCGTCCTTCTCTACCGCGCCGCGACCGTTCCACCCTTGAAACCCCCTAGGCGTGGACTGGAAATCACCGTCTCGTGTTGCGTGCGTTACTTAGACCTCGAGGGTCGAAAATACAACCCCTTTGTACGGGGGTTCGTGCCTTCGTGGCCTGGATTTATCAAAACTAAGCAGTTTTATTCTCTGATGTGTCTGACGTTAATAGATAGGTACAAAAAGAGGTAGACACTCTATATTGACATTGCTTCGTAAAAAATATCTACTCTAACAGCTATTTATCTTTAGAAATGAATGAAATCGCGAAAAATTTATCCGGACATTATTCATAACGTAATTTAATTTTTTTTACTTTAAGATGAAAAAGAAAGAAAATGTATAATTATAATACTATTATATGAATACTACTCGGGCAATTTTTTCGAGAATTTTTATTAATACTCTTTTGTGCAGATAGAAAGAAAGCGTGTCAGTAAGAATGTAAATCCTTGCTCGAATGAAGGACCTCCTCGAACGTCGTCTAATTCTTTCGTTCCAGCTGATGTCAGAATGCGCGAAGAGCGTTTTAGGGCACGAACCCTTCGTACTCGTGCAGTCGGGCACGCGGTGTTTGCTTTCGTGGGTCGGCCTTATGAAAATACAGATCCGCGCGGCACGGCGGATTGACGCACGCCCTTCGAACCCGAAAGTCGGAGATTATTACACTCGACGTCACTAGTCGACGGTCTGACAGTTGACGTCCTTTCAGCGCGTCAAGCGCGAGACATCCCTCGGATTCTCTCCCTGGATTCGTCCTCGTTGCTCGATACATTCCGCGATGCCGCCGCGCCGGGACGCCGCGCGCCGCGCCGTCGCTCAAGTCGATCCTGATGAGATACGAAAAGGGTTTATCGCGACGCGGCGAGAAACGACGATGATCGTTCTCGCTCGTGTATATTTCGAGACGAAGATCTCGGATAGAGTCCAGAGGATATATCGCCCCGATCGAAAAATAGCGATCCGCGATCGAGGGAACGCGGAAAGCCGGAGGATTATCTCGCTCGGGCGTCTCTCAAGCTGACGTCCTTTCAACATGTCAATCCCACTTGATTCTCCCGATTCACTCCTCGTTCGCCGGATATGTGCCCAAAGGCTGCGCCTTTTGCCGAGAGACGGCGGGAGTTAAGTCGATTGCACTCGAGGCGATTTATCCGGAGTCGTTAAGGACGAAGAGATCTGAAGTTGGTGTTGTACGCGGGCGTGCGTAAACTGTCGGTTCTGGCGCGTGATCAAGCCGAACGGTGGAGATCGGAGCCTCGGCGCGGAGGGTAAGGAACAGATGTCGGAATACCAGCTTGGGAATGTTTACGTCGCGGGGATTTTATATCCGAGAGACATACGACGTACACGTGCAGAAAGTGTCGGCGGTGCCTTTGTCGTACGGAATAATCGCGTCTTTCAAACAAGCCCCGCAGAAGCTGTCAGCCGGTATTAACGGCTGCCCCGAGCGTACAAAGGAGTGACAAGTTGTAATGATAACCCGGGGAATGTTTTGATAACTGTATCTATACGAAGGGAATACGGCCATGAGAATTATTTGTGCGCATGCATAGGTGACTGTACAAATAATCCGCTAATCTGCACATGTAGGATGCGTGATTGTCTCAATTACAGCGTTCTTCGCAAATAAGGGATATTCGTGATCAGGCTCGACTTGTGTGATATTCGATGCAAATTATACTCTCTAATCATTAAAAAATAAATTACAATATATACAATAATACGCATATCTCGACGCATATTAAATTTGTCTAATTTACATGTAATGTTCTTTTCGATACGTTTTATTATATATATATATGTATATATATTTATCATAACACTTTTTATTATTATTAGAAGTTTAAAACGAGCAGACTTTCATATTATTTTTATTTTTGAAATCCCTTTCTCCAATTAACGACATCCTACGCTTCGTATCGACGTATGGGTTGGCGACAGAGCGTGGACGAAGGGCAATAACGCGTTAATTGCCGCATTGTTATGTTAATACGCTGAAGACTCCAGCAATAATTTCGTCATTATCACGCTAGGGCCTAATGGATCCGCAGATAATTGGGAAGGAGGGCTGAGGACCGAGAGGGTAACAGAGGGATGACAATGTTATAAAACGCGGGAGGGCTCCGTTGCGTGACGGTTTTCCTCCCCGAATTACACTCCTACCGCCTGTTTTCGACGTGTTCCTCGATGCGACAAACACACGAGTGTGTTATACACATGCTCATTTATTATATATACCACGTATTAATTTACAACTATTAAAGTTAATGCGTTCGCGTGTTATACGTTCGTAATTTATTTAGGGGCTGAGTCATATTTATCGGCGTATCTATACGCTATGTTTCACCACCTAGCTACGTCATCGTAGTCGCTGTTAACAATGAATCTCGTGGCCGGAATGCAAAAAAGGCGATCGTTCGCCACATGTGTCGCTCGCGTTAAATCTCGCTACGTCAGATACATCCCTGCCGGATGACGCATCTGTACAATTGCCTATCCTATCACTCCGACTCTCCGGAGCACACTCGTCCGCTCGTATGTGCACGTACACTTTCGCGTCCACCCTGCAATTACGCGACACCGACGCGAAGCGCGCGGGCGCGTTAATATACACGCACAAACGACGACGAATACTCGCTCTCTCGTCTAGGCACGCGTCTATAATATACGTGCATATACCGTTTACCAACCGCCCTCTCGCTATACACAAAATCGAACACACCCTCGCACGCATGCACGCACGCAGGCAAGCAGGCATCTAGAGGGTGTGCAGTACGCGCGGACGCGCGGGCACCGCAATTCGACCGACGTGCAACATGTTTATGTATCGCCGGCAACATTAACATTGCAATTTATGCGCGCTTCAACTGCTCGGGGACCCCTTTCAGCTCTCCCCCGATCGGCCACAGCTGACCGGCTCGCTTAACACAACCGCGAATTTACCGACGTGGTTCAATGTACAAGTTCAGTCGTTGCGGGGGGGAGGGGGGCAATCCCCCGCAAACGTCTCCTCCGTCCAAGTCTTTCGTACGAGACTATTTATATATTTCGGCGCTGCTCCGCTCGATGCTCTTATGCCAGAGCACGCCGGTGCACCACCTACGCCCGAACGCCTCTATGGATCTCTCGGTGACCGGTATTCGAAGCGCGATTCTATTGGATTCCAAGTACGGTTGAGCGAATTTGAAATGCGCCGTGACCTGCTTCTTTTACGCGCGAATAAAAAGGAGCTTGACCGAAAGAACCGAGGAACGTCTACGTCTGTCGTGACAATTTAGTCGGATGCTTTTATTACCGGTTAACAGTTAATTGATAGATTGCTATTTTGACTGTACTGTTAAATTATCACATCTAGCTGCAATATGCAGCTTTTTCTTCGTACAGAATGTTGCTTTAATCACCATTGTTCTGTTTTGTTATTTTAAAGTATTATGTTGAGCTGCTTTGATAACCAGATAGAATTTAATTAGCGAAGTTTACGTTATATAGTTGTTTTCCGGGATTACACCGGCACGCTCAAGTGTAAGTATAAGCAGGATCAAAGGGTAGCCCAAGTATCGGCTTTTGAGGTCAAATAGTACGCTAGGTTCCAAGAGTTAGAAGAGTTAACATCGACTTTCCTGATTTAGTATGTTCCCGTAACAGCCACCCACGCGTCTGGATATATTTAGCGTTAAAGTATAAGCCGATTACCGGTACACTTACAAACTTTATAGTACTATCATTGATAAAGTTGTCAAGAACTCTTCGAGCGCGCGGTTTGTGACTCTTGTTCAATACTCTTTACGTAATAGAGTTTTTATGGGTATAATTTCGCAAGTTAAAATCACGCGATATCAGAATAATTATGTAGCTTCGTGCTCGTAACGCAAAATCTCACATTTTGAAAGCTTTGCGCTCGATATAACTCGTATCTACTCACTCATCCAGGAAAAGGGATGGTACCGCGTTGTGCGGTGCGACCGAATCGAGACACCATCATGATCCATCTTTCGATCCTGCTCGAGAAATTCTTCGGGTGCGAAATACGTCCCGTATACGTAAGTTTCGAGCTCGATTTCACGAACGAGTACCTAAAAGCCTTTCCCGGAGCTGACTTCGGAACTCTTGGCGGATACTTTGCAAGTTTCTCGCCCTGTTTACCTGACACGAGGAGGGTGGCTCGGGCCGCCGGAGTCAATGGGATGGAAACCAAGCCGAGTAGAAACCGAGCCTCGAGGTTTAATGTAAGGCAAAGGGCAATGCGGTACGAGGGGGAGGGCACCGGGATGCCTTTCTGTTTTTATCGAGTGAAACCGCGGTGGCGAGAGAGGCACCCGCCTCGGGGTAAAATTATATAGCCTTTGGATGTAAACACGTCTTTCAATCATGATCTCGCCACGATTTCTTCATCTTGCCCAAAAAGAGAATCGTCTCTCTCTGTTGTTGAGCGATAAACATCACATCATCACCAATGCTATATTTCTATCTAATCGCCAACCCGTTAACCTGATTTTTATATTATTTGATACCTGATATGCTGATTATTCTATAATTTATGGTTGTTGAGTCGATCGTTATTTAAGCCATTATTTAAACCCTCATCAACGTCGATGAAGAAATATATACATATATGTATATGTAATTCGATTTGAAGTTTGAAATTGTATCGACTGGGATCGAATTAACATATCTACTCACATATGTCTATGGAACGTCCGCCGCAGAAGCAGAGGATCAGCAGGTAAAAGATGAGGCACGTCTGCAGGTAGTCCATGGTAGCGTCGATGGTCCGCGGGCCCGTGGTCATCGAACTCTCATAACCGCTCCTGCAAAAATAAAGTTACAAAAATATTACACACACACGTATACAAACGGCTCGCTGGTCCTGGCATTACGCGGAACAGAGTGATTAAGCGTGATTCTCGAGAAAGCGTCTTGCCAAAACATAGAGATTGGAACCCGGAGAGGGTTGGACGGGGACAAGAGCGTGGGGGAGGGGGGCCGACTGGGAGACGCGACGTGAACGTAGAAAAAGAGTCTGGAAACGGCCGTTTCGGCCTCCCTGTGCTTTTCGCCGGGGTGAAATGGCGCGATTCCCGTACCGGACAGATATACGACCGGTACAGGAGCCACGGACAAAGAGCTACATTCACGCCAGCAGCCATTACGCGTCATTATCGAGATTAGGATCGGCCGTTCGGCGCGAGAGAAGAAGACGGAAAGAGAGAGGTCCACTGAGGATGTTGCGAGCCGGAGAAAGAACTACGGCGAACGCGCCGTGGGGCTCTCTTTGGCTGGTCTTGGTTCTTCTCTTGTATGCGAGGGGGCGAGAGCTCGTACGTACCGGATAGTCGGGGGGGATACACCGGGAGGTTTCGCGGGGAGGAGGAACGCGGGACCATACTTTATTCACGGCGGTGGTGCCGTCGTGGTGTGTAGCAGCGTAGAAAAGAAAAGCGAGGGGACCGTACGAGAGAACTCACTTTTTGGCTAATTAACGGGGGGAAGGGGGAAGGAGAGGTTATGGGGTTCCTCGACTACCGCCGACCGTTCCCCGATGCTTATCTTGCCGAGCTTAGAGAACCCTTCCTGCGACTCATTATTTCAGCGACGAAAATATCCGTGGCGATAAACGCAGCGACCGGGTTTTATATCGCGTTACGATCGTGAATTCGTGGATTTTAAGAATTTATCGTGGATTTTCGGCAAACCGGCAACACTTTCGTAAGCTATTGTTTCAAATAGATCTGATCTCAAATTAATGATGTCTGGGACAAGTCCTCAATTTTATTAAAAAGCTTCGTCCTGTTGTTAGAATCGAAGCAAAATGGAAATTGTTTGAACGCTATCTCTGTTTTCGAGTCACTTCCGGAGCACAGTTCGGTGACTTTGAGATCATCTTTTCCGACTTAATACTCGATTGACACAAGGCTCGGAGCTACTATCGATACATACACAAGTGGCTGAATCGGATTATCTGACCGGTAATTAAGATGCTATTGAAGCGGTTGCGTATGCTGGTACCCGTGTCAAGCATAGTACGATCACAATGCGCGCGCGATCGATTAGTCGACATAGTAATTAAGGTCGCGGAGCGCAGCCAACCTTTAACCGCCCCGCTCGCTCGGCCGATTGTGTCCGGGATACACGGCATTCGTTTCTTAGCCGATGATTAGATCAATCGTGACGTACAATTAATCATTAGGCCCCGTGAATAATCTCGTCGTAAATACACGCGCGCTCTAATGCGGCATTCATGCGCGCATATATACGTTCGCGAGATACGTTCCCTGCGGCGACCGCGTCGCTTCACGCAGCACTTTAAAAGCTCTCTTATTTCTTGCATTACGTGTGCCAAATGTAATCTATTAAAGATAAAAATTGTATGGGAAATAAGCTGTTCGTGCACTTGCGTGAGTTAATTGCACTATCGATCTGCGTTTCGTATACGACTTTACTTGCGGGGTAACGTTGAGCTCTTTTATGCCTTTAAGTAGAAAAAGTTAATCATTTCCTTGTAATTACTGAGACTTGATTATGTCCACATTTCTGAATTGATACGCGCCTCTGCCTGAGGCAAGAAAAGCGTTATGCATTTATTAATACGCTGCCACTTATCTCAGTCCGTTTGTTTTTTGTGGATAATCATCATTCCGAGGAGGAAGACGCCGCGTATAACGGCGCGGCGTCGTGCAGACGGTAGATTTTTTGTGCCCTCGTTCTCGGATTAAATCCTCTTTCAACTGGTTTTTAGTCGATTATTTATTTCGAACGCAAACATTCGACATCGGCGCCCGCCGACGAAGCGCCCCGGAGTAAACCACGCGAGCCTTCGCCTCCGGAACGAGAAGAAATCATGCGAATTTAGTGCCCCGTTTGTTCCAGCTTTCTACAATACGCACACTACCATCTTTCATTCGCTCGAGCTGCCACGCAGCCGCGCACTCGGCCACTCGGTTCCACTGTGTGCCGCTGCATAAGGTGCCCTTGTGCGCACTTCGAATGCTCGATTTGCATGGCATTCGTCTCTTCATTTTTGCCGAGTCTATCCGCGCGCTCGTCGCGTTGAGCTCGCGAGCCAGGTGCATCGGTGCTTAAGTGGAATTAACGTGAATGATGGGGCCCCAGATAAAGCTACATCCGCCTGTACGGGCTCACGGGTGTATTTTACGAATGAATACACATGAATTTGTTCAGCGAATCGGCGAATCAATCATGCCGCTTCGATTACGTTCGATGTATACGTACAAAGCATAAGCTTGTAACAGGGGATTTTTCTAATCTCAGTATTCTACGATAGCTCATATTTATATAATAATTTCGTTAAGAAGCTTGGCTAAAACCAGTTTCGATATACGGTTCAATAGATATGTCTTGAAAATCAATCTGATATTTGTGACGTCAGATTTATGATTCAAGAAAGGAATCTGTATGTTCTTATTTACGTTATTTTTTTATCTAAATATATTGTATCTGCCAAATCCTGTTAATAAATCTTATTTTAAAGATTTTATAATACAAATCTTGTATTATTGTGTTATATATTCTCGATAAATAAATAACGAAATTCTTAAGCTTTATTAAGAAGGAAAAACACCGAAAGACGAGAGTTTTTTAACGAAAAACTCCCTTTGCGAAAAACCAATTGTCAATTTACATCCTTTCCTTGCATTCCTTTTTAACAGCATAACTCTTTTGTATTGTTGCGTTTGTAATTACTCAAAGTTGTGCAGTGATGACGAGTGATGATTTATAAAGACTAAGAGTAAGCTTTAGCAACATTTAACTTATTCCATCTATTTTTATTAAATCATTATCTTTCCTTCTTTTTACATAATTTGTAGATCATACTTATATAAATATATTAAAAATGTTCATATATTTTAACCGGTATTTAACAAGCTGCCTGTTTCGTGTTATTCCGCCAGATAATTATTTTCCTTGATATTCAAACTTAAATTAAAAGCCAGAAGAAGTATTCCCATTTGGGAGCATTCCCATGGCACGTACTAGAGTTGGCTTGGCTCTGTTCCCAACGTGTCATTCCGAAGGTGGTGTGAATGGGAGAATGGGAGAAAGAAGGAAAGTGCTGCTGCCGCACAGGTTCGCAGCTACGTGTACGAATACACTTTAATCTCCACACTTACAACGTTTCCGGATCGTTAAACGCCGTTCGTCGACGAACTCTTGAGTTCGGACGAAAAATTCGCATCCAAGCTCGACCCCGTCGCCGCTCGCGAACGGCTTTAGTTTCGTGGCGGAAAACGCGTCATTTTCTCGTCGAAAAGTTTTCGACAATGCAGAAAAAAAGGAAGCTTGTGAAACACTGGAAGGTAAAAATTCTGCATACACGTGTACAAGGATAAGATTTTCTTCTTGTGAGATGGCAAGAGAAGATCTTGGAAAAATATATGTACTTGATTCGCTCAAAAATTTATTTCAGAATATTTAACGAAAATAAAGAAATGTTCGTTCACTTAATACCGATGTATATGTATCAACTTGTAAAATATGACGAAAACTGTCTAATTTAAGCAAATATTTAACAGGTTCAAAAACGTGCGTTTCGCATTCACGGATTTCCGGGCGATAAAATTGCCTTTTGCAGAAATTCCAGAAATGGCCAGACGAGAAACTTGCATTCAAAGTGCCTTTCCATCTTTCCCCGAGGAAACTCGCAATTCTTAGCTGACGAGATTTACGGTGGGTGTGGGAGAGAGGCAGGCATGGTGCTCTTTTGAGCGCTGTTTCCATCGTTTGGGCGCATAAATTTGCGCGCGAATTCGTGGAAAGTACCGCGCGTACACGAATACGCGACCGTCTCGAGAGCTCGCGCAAATTAAAACTCGGCGAAGTCGTCCTCGCGTAATTGCCGGGGCGCGCCGCGACTTATTTTTGTAGACCCTCTCCCAAGGACGCAGTCGTCGACGCGAGAGAAATTGTGAGACGATGTTTATTTTATACCGCTGTTTTAATAAAATAACATAAAAGTAAAGAAATATTTTAAATAAGACAAGTTTTCAAGAATCACTGTTCTATCATGTTATAACGATGTATCTAAATATTTTATTGTTTTTCAACATGTAAGCAACATGTTATTTAATTCAGTATTTTCTCAAATTTTGTACGATCCGGCGTGATTAATATCACAGTATTATATTTAGATTTTTTAAATTAAAAATTTAAATTATTAGATACCTATAGCTAAAATTAAAATATTTTGATATCTGTATCTTTGTATTAAATTAATTTCGTACTATTATCTACGGCATCTTTTTTATTTAGTTTTTACTATACTTCATTACTTGAAAGAGTTAGCCACTTTTTGAATTTATCAAGGAATCCATCTTTTGATGAACTTTAAGCTCTGCCACCGATACGCAACTTGTTACCCAAATCTTATTAATTCACAAAGTTACGGTAGTAAGTCTCGGCTCTTTGACACTCCAATATTTTCCGCCCGAAGCGTAGAAGTTAGCGGTGATCCGTATCTCTCTCTCCGCTCGGCGTATTTCCGTCTGGAATTTGCACGGTAATTTCTATGAAATCGTTCGGTTATCCGACGGTCTTCAAAGAGCTTTGATCGACTCGCGGACGATCATTCGCTCATAAACAGACACCATCAAGCATTACGGTCTTCGAAGCGGCGTTTTCTAACGCGAGAAAAAGAAGAGACACGCAAGCTCGGCTAATTACGAGGGTCCCTCTGGCTACCGTGGGCCGTGTGCCGTTGGTGCTGTGGCTGCTGCTGCTGCTACTGATGTTTATCTTCGCGAGCGATGGGAACCCAAGATGGCAGAGCATCTCCCATTTATTCAGCGCAAGA